GACCATACATTCCACAATTTTTTAGCTGCGCTGCTTGTCTCGAGTAGATCTGACCCAGAAGGATGCACTATATACACAAAGCAGAACTGCATCTATTTATATCTTATGCTTTTTAACACCAATATTGCCTGTACACACAGCACAAAAATATTTAGAGACACTTGAATCAATTTTAAAATAAAAAATTAAAACAAACCAATCATAAGACTTCTGTATTTAAGTGCCTCATAAACCTATTGCAATTAAAACACTGCTCTGAAGCTCCTAAATAATTTAAGAAGCTAAAGGATAAACGGAATGATGGATAATTTCCAAGCTCTCAACAAAAGCAGTGCCTATTACATGTTCATACTTGAATAGTCAAGTATCAAAAAGTAGAAGTTATCTTTCAAAAGGTAAAAGACTTTTCCCAGAAACAAAGATGGCATAAATAGCAACTTTCATTGACAACAGCATAATACACTATGAAATATGCTTCCTTTTAACTTCACTGAAGTGGTCAGCAGCAGGAAAAACAGTCTCAAGCTATCTGATGAGATATTGTTCAACGGAATTCTTCCCAAGTCCCAAAATCCTGAAGTGCGTTCACAAGCCAAAAGAGGTTAGCCAAAAGCTACTTTGTTTAGGGACTGGGGAAGTGGGAAGCAGCCTCATCGAAGCATTTCACACAGGGAAGGGGAACGAGGCAGAAGATCCACATTTTCAGCCCTCACTCTAAAATTGTTCCAGGTATTGCCTCCCCACATTCCAGACCTCAAACAGATCTGGTTTTATGACAGATACTCTCAAAATCTCTTGTGTTAAATTGAATTTTATGTAAAAGTGTTTATGAATATTGTGGAGCTTGGAGAGCAGCACACTATCGAGTTACATTGCTTTCATCCCTACTTTACTTAGGTGTTGACCCACATGCAGCCTAAAGATCCCTTTCCCACCCTCATATCAGCACCAATAATTCTATTTCTTGCAAGTGTTATTTACACATTCTCTACCAACATAAGACACTGAGAAGAGTCCTACAAATTAAGAACCAGTGCAATATAGGTAGAACAGATTGCTGTTCAAGTCTGAAATAATAACTTAGGAAAAAAAAAAACAGTATTCCGTGTCAAGTAATGTTTTTCCTATATATCACATATTCCAGTCTCAGACAAACAATTTGTTTTAAATTTCAGACGCACAATCCCAACAGGACAGTACTATAATCTCACCATTTAGAGCCAAAGCTATTTCTAATTTCAATTAACATCTAATCGAAGTGTGGGCTGCTTTGTTTGGTTTCTAGATGACTTGATATCAAGTTGTCCTGGTTTGTACATCATTTTCTATTTATAGATTTGGTTTAAAAGGGGGTACACCAGCAAGTATAAAGAAAACAATATATTTAGTATACGCTAAATGCAATCTTCAAAACATCACATTTTGGAATGTAAAGCTGAAGAATATTGCAGAAGCAAATGAGACACACAAATACAACTGTGTGGTTACTTCAGAACAGCTGCAGAACGAGGGGTAGACAAAACACCCCTATTGCTTTTACAGTTCCAAAGAACTGGTGAACCATGGATGACTGAAAGCATTGGAAATATGCCATGGCCCAAATTGGAAAACAAGCCTAGAAAAATTACTGATGGGCTCTGATGCAACAAAACTGCACTCTACACTTTGACTAACATCACAAGAGCTAGCTGGTGATAAACCTTCTTTGGGTGCATTTCTTGCTCGTGAGGCAGGGAAGAAAAACAAGCCAGGCAAAGAGAGTGCAATTCAGAGAAATTCAACATCCTTTTTACAGTCACTTGAACACCTGTTTTATATTTAAGTTGTCTTTACCTGACCAAAAAATACACCTTAAACAGAACTCAATCAGGTTCCACAACTGACTTACTGAATGTCTTGTTTAATCTACATTACAATTATTTACTTCCAGTGTGTAATTGCTGGTAACTAATCAAATCCCCTCAGCTGGTATTAGTCAAGAGGCTGCACAGAAAATTAAGCAGCTTTTGTGCAGTTTTAAAAGACAGCCATGATCAAGAAAACAACTTGCTCATTTTCTTTGCTAATGGCCTCAGCCTTTCAGAAGCGATTCGGGTTCTCAGTGAAGGCTGTCAGAACTGTGACAGTCTGCAACAGAAACTCTCAAATACTTTGTGCATCTTCAATTGCATACTGAAACTAGGAACAGATATTGTTTAGGTTGAGAATCAGTCAAATGTGGACTTGCAAACTGTTGTGAGCACTGAAAAGGCAATCATTAATTTTTAAGAACAGCGTATTGATCATATTTGAGGAGTAATTCTTTGTTTAAGGTCTATTACTTTTTCAATCTCATGATTTTTGAGAGGTTCTTGCATTGTCATCCTTTATGAATGCCCAAAACAGTTTAATATTTGATTTCTTATTAATTCCATAACATGATCACCCAAACAAAGAATATGAAAAAGCTGGCAACTGAGTAAATTATGTCATTTGATGCTAATCCAAGGCCTTATGAAAGCGCAATGAAAAACTGAAGCACAACAAAGTTAGAGAATAAAATCCTAAACTAAGGAGTTTAACTAGGGTAACAGAAACAAACGTATGCACCTGCTAAAGCACGTTAGCCTGAATTACAAACTGCAGGTCAATTCACTCCTTGGTCTTTCTGCTTCCACTGCTTTGTGGGGCATACTAGTGCTTGGTATTAACGTGGGACTGCTTTTGGCACATCTGTATCCCTACCTCGCACTCAGAATATCGCCTTGCAAAGCCTTTACATAACAGTAACTATTTGTTCATTCATCAAGGCTTCAGTTAAATCCGATCAACACTTTCTGTTAACATTTTTGTTCTCTCCACCTTAATTGTCTTTGAAGATAAAGAGAAGAGAAATGGTCCTCCCACTTATTGGGACATTCATCTCTAATATAGCAATAGCAAACAAATTACTATCATTAAAGCAATTTTTTTATATTAAAAATTCACAAAGATTGCAGGTTTCCTGCCTTTATCATGCTGTGCTATACAGCTTCCAGCCAAGTAAGGTCAAACTAGAAGAGAAATAGAACACAAGACTTAAAAGGAGCAACCAGGTACTATGGAAAGCTTCATGGATTTGAGAACAGGCACATCTTTCCTCAAAATGAACCAGGACTTCCAACAAAGCTCACAGGGACACCATCTTCTCTAGAAAGTGGTTCACAGAAGATGGATTCCAAAGTCCTGATCACTAGTAGTCGCTACAAAGACGACATGCTCTACACTAGCAGAAGCACTAAACCCCACACAGGCACAAGTCAGCTTCGATAAGGACATCTTGCATACCATAAGTTCTTCTCGATTTCAATAGAGAGATACATCTCATCCTAAACTGACACACTATTTTTATCACAGTCTTAATCAGAAATGTGGTACATTCTATAGTCTGCATCTGGAAGTGCTGTAATTTTATCACAAGAACAGGAAAGGCTAAATAAATAAAATGGAATCAACTGTGGTAGACAGTACTTTTACATCCATTTGTCTTTTGTAAAAAATGTGGTCCTGAAATCTCAGTAGTACTGATTTTTTCCTACTTTCATTTTTTTCAAAAAGATCTCTGAATAAAGACACACTGGCATTTAAAGATGGACAATCTCAGCTATTTTTAGAAGTAACCTCTTTTTAAGGAAAAGAACGAGGAAAACAAGCAACATCTTAGTTTTGTGTTAACTCTTGACTTAAAAAGCAGAAAAATAAAAGCACTCTTTAAAATATATGAAAATTAATTCCTACATGGAGAGAGGATTGGAGGGCTTTGAAAGTCAACATGGTAATTTAAGACTCCTAAAGCATGTGCCACCATGGTAATCTGGAAGATCATTAAAATGACAATTTACGCTACTCTCACTAAAAAAATATTGACAGCTAAGCAGAGATTAAAATACATTCCTGTCAAGTTTTAATTACAACTGAATCTCTTCGGTTTTGTTTATCTTGAAATTCCACCTGCAATTGTCTTTTCTGACCTACACTTTATCAGCATGTTCACTGAGGAGGGTATTTAGCCAAGACTCCTGCAGCAAAGACCAAAAGATCCTCTGGGTCCTAAAAAGACAAGACTTATTGTCAGCAAGCTTTTACTAGTACAAAACCTCTCACTACACACAGTTGTGGTACACACATGTGGAAATATGCCACGGAGAAAGAGCAAGGTCATACCAGAGAACAATCAATGCATGATCCAAGAAAGCAGAAAATCACTGCAGCTACCATACAACCAGTTGATAGAGCAGAACTTCCATGAATGTTCTTACCACTCTCAGAATACAGATTTTACCTAAACGAGTCTGTTCCATCTCCAAGATGACAACCCACTCCAATTCAAGTTCAGCTGAACCTTCAAACAGACATACTGGCTCACAATTAAGGATCCAGTATTTTGCCTGAACCTGGCCAGTGTGAAGCATTTAAGAAACAGAATAGGAGAGGAATGGCAGAGAAGGGGACCAGATGAACAGAAGATTTCTGTGATGACAAGCTAATTTTGACATACAGTAAATCCATCACATGGGAACTCAGAACATTGCTGCTGGGACCTACCTCACACTAGCAGGCATTCAAAAAAATTACCAGTTCACATAGTCCAGAAGTCCTAGGTACCAAAAATAGCACATGCCAGGAATGTTTAAAAGCTGCACTGAAAAGGCATATAGTCACAGCACACCTGTTAATCAGTACAGGCTCCTTTCACAGAAGTTTAGTTCCAGCTGTAGACATCATATCTTTATTGAATAAACAAACCTGCTTACTGCAGGTTTTTCTTATCTAAAACATCTAAATATCTAATAGCGAAAACAACACAAAAGAAAAACACCACTTTGAGAACACATTTAGGTAACCTGGCATAGTTATCATCAATCTTGTATCAACAATACACTTGGAGCAATAAGAAAGGTTTAGGTACACACAGGTCCCTTCCCCAAAGCACTCCCTGCTCCTCCCTCCCGTTTTCTGCCCATACAATAGCAAAACCATACCTGGATCTTTTCGCCCTGGTTTTTCAAAGCGTCTGTCCCCCCTAGAAAGGCAGAACAGAAGTTTCAAATAAGGTTTTGGAACTACTCCACTCATTTTAGGTATGGTTTTTTGTGGTTTTTTGTTTTGTTTTGTTTTTTTACTTGGTAGGGGGCTTTTTTAAAAATCAGTGCTTGATGCACTGTATCTTTCAAGGTCCAAGCGACAACTGAAATTTTCAGGAACAGATACTCACACAGCATTTGACAACTAGGTATGTTTTGAAACGTGACCTTAAGTACTGTCAACAACGTTGAGACTAAAATTGAAGCAAATCCTTTAGCCATCCATATTTTCTCCCATCATTTCCACTTCAACTGTCATAATTTATATTCTCTTAAGGCAGTTCCTTCTTGCTAGGAACTCAGCAGAAAAAATCTTGGCAAAACCACTCTTTTACTTGCTCCTGGGTTTCCAGAAACATTACCGTGTTGACTCCATCTTAGAAATTCAGACACACCTAATCACCTTCCCTCGAGTGCTTTTATGAAGTCAAAAGGCACAAATGGAAGCTGAGCAGATGTACGTAAAAAACTTTAAGGGCTAGAGTTCTGTTACCTTTCCTCCCAACTCTGTGATCTGTGCATTTCCCTGCCCCCTCCTCGCCCAAATCCACCCTCCACTTCATCAAAACTTCTTTGGTAGAAACCGCTTTCTCCTCGGCCTCTGCCTGAAAAGACAAAAAACACAAGTGTTTGTACAAATAATAACAGAAGTTGAAAGAATCAGGTAGGTTTCCCTTTCCTGGTGTCCCTGTGAACTAATCTTGCAGCCTTAAGCCCCAGTGAAACTATCTGGGGCAAAGGGAAAAAGGAACAAAGACTGAAGAAAGAGCCTTATGCAAAAATTCTTATCAAGAAGCACAAGATCAGACAGAACAGGCAAACAATTCTGAAATAAACACTACGCAGAAAAACACAGAAAACATACTTACCCAAAAGAAATTACCAAACAAGGATGCATCGTTCATGCAACATCCACACAGTACATGTGTACTTCACACTCATAAAAATCAGATTGCTTTTAACAGCAGAATCCAGTATAATGGTACTGCACTGCAGATGTACTCATAATTACTGCTGTCAAGGTTAATAAAGGCAAAGAAAGCTTCATAACTTAAGTTCTAGTGATTCCCAGCAGAAATCTCCCCCAGGAGCAGTGGGGAGAAAAGAAGGATCACAGGATGGGTATAGGCAGGACAGCATGAAGAACTCCAATAGCTACAGAATAAAAACTATCCTCACCTTTTTCAAGAAATGATTCTCCGTAGGTGGCTACCAAGTATCAAGCCTCAAGCCAAAAAGTTACAGACATATCCTCAAGTTAAGCATCTTGAAGAACGGTTTCAGTGTTTGCGTGGGCGTGGGGTGTTTGGTAAAAAAAAGAGAGAAAGAAAAAACAACACCCACACACATCCCCAGACCTTCAAGACAACTTCCAGTACTGGTTAGATTAATGGCCGGGGTGAAGTTTCCAGATCTACAAAAGATAAACACTGCTTCACAAAGTGCTACAGCAGAAGAAAGGGGAGATTTTTATCAGCTAACCATTTCAAGGATCTCATGGAAAGAAGACAAGTGAATAAGTGGAACACATCAATCAGCTGGTTGTCAGGATGCCTTTCCTACATACACGTTTAGTCTCTGTAGTCAAGTCCAAGAACCTAAAAAGCCCCGATAAAGGGAATTCTTGGCTGTGAAACTACCACAAACCTCAATCCTTTCATATTTCTCTCTTCCTGGCTTCAAGAACACAAAAATCTCAAAGGATGAGGTGCACATCTGGCCAAGGATCCAGAGGAATAAGACACAACCACCAAATGAAACAGGAAATAAACACTTGGAGAACAGATTCCAGTCTCTGTAGCTTTCTGAAGAAAGTAATGATAACAAGCCTCTATATCTAAAACCTAAAGATCGCTGGATGCATCAAGGAATTGTGCTGTATTTCCGTGTGTTACGAAGGGAGGCTCTAAAAAAATGGCAATAATCAAGGCAGTTGCAACAGTTTCTCTACTATTGCACATCAAATCTCTTGCCAAAAAAGTAAATAAATGAGTGTTGTCTTCCAGGGAGAGAAAAAGAAAAGTGATCCCCAGATAATCTCATCAGACTCCTCAAACAGACACTGATTTTGTATCAGGCATTACAGGTTGCCAGGTGTATAAGGAAGTCACAAAGTTAGCGTCTGCTGTCTGTACAACCTCGCCTTCTGCTTCAGAAACAGGATTTAAACATCCTCTTTGGGCAAACCTATCCTGTTGCTAGCACCAGCAAAGCAGTTCAGTGGCAGACCTCCTTGTCACAGAGATGCACAGACTTCCTTACCACCCAGTTTGGGGATGCTTAAATTCAGATGGAGACTGGACAGACTCATGAAAGAAATACGCTGAGATTTGCTGAACACAGACACCACATCTGGCCCAGGAAACGTACAAAGCTGCAAATATCTGGAAGCTGAGCATGTATGTGATGCTTCTTCACCTTTGTATTTTTACACGGTCCTTATTCTCTTGCCAAGGTGTCTTCTTTTGGCTGTTGCTAGAGACAGACCATTGAGTTAAACAAGTCCTTGCCTGATTCAGCATAGCTGTTCTTACTCGAACTCAGACGGAGACTGAGTACTCAAGGCAAGAGAGGAGAGATTAGTATCAGACCTCTGACTGTATTAGAAACACCAATACCTTCACTACAGCGAGTCCAATACTAAAAGCTTGGCCAGAGTCAGGAGTGCAAAATAAGTTGCAAAAGCAAGAGAGAGTAAAGATGTGACACAACATCAAAAGTAGCATAACAGTTACTCAGTTAAGGTGTCATGGGTCCCCTGAGATCCCGGAGAAGGACTCCAAGTTGTTACTCTCCAAAAATAAAGCCCAGGAAAGTTTAAGCATTTCACACAATGGCAATCTTTGCCTAGTTTCTTCCCTACAGGAAAGCTCTCTTCCTTCCTCTCACAGGAGATAATAAAGCAAAAGTCATTCACAAGAGAAAGCCACCGGCAGGCAGAGTCGAAACAGAACAAAAGCACTGACTCATCTCGTGTCTCTGAGATAGTGGAGGTGGAAAGCTGCATATGCTTTTCCAACAAAAACAAAACCAGTTGTCCTTTTCCATTTATTTATTTTTTTTTTACAGAGAGTGACAGCAACATTTGTAGTGCTCCCCTTGCAGTGTGAGCAAGCATGAATGCACACTGATTACTGATAGCAGTCACACAACCAGCAGAGCCAGAAGGCTGGTGATACAAGAGATTTCATCAGGAAATAAAGCTAATGTTCTATATAAGGCAAGAACAGGATCAGTTGTTTTAACAGCAGCATGGCTTATGGCAGCTTTAAAAGCATGTGAAACAACAGCCTGAGAAACCTCTCTCTGCTTACCCCCTCCACGTCGTGGTTTGTCAGTGTTTCAGTTGTGCTCAGCCACTGAAATGGTCTGAATCAAAAGATAACCTTGCAAAAGGTCAAACAAATGTTCTCAGCAATTCAGTTTAAGGCTGCCTGTGGGGTCACACTACTCAATTCCCAGCTGTACTGATACCACATGGTACCGGACAGGACCCCTTTAGGCCACTTTTGCCCTGGTTGTGTTGCCACCCTCCTCCACCGCTTTCTCCAAGGCACATCGTCCAGGTGCAGTTACAAGATGTGCCCACTCGACAGCACCCAGCAGAAGTACATGTGCATTTTGAATGAAGGAGACCACTGCATGAGAAGTACACTGCATTAATAACAGATCCTACCAAGCTACAGAAGTGAAGTAGCTAGTTGAGGAAAATCCTGGTGTGCAAAGTCAAGTTATTCAGCGAGTATTACGTAGATGAGTCTGGCCCAAAAGTGCACGCTAGGACATAGCTCATATTGATAACATATGAAAAAAGCTTGCAGAGAGGGTAAAACTGCACATATAAGCACACTGTTTACCGTTCGGTTACCGCACTTCTTGGCTTTTTCTGTAGCTAATAAATCTAGAACGTCATGCTTCTTTTAAATAGAATGTCACTTCTGAAAAAATGCCTGGCACGTGAGAAAAGACTTTTGAAATGTAGATGCTGCACAAAGTACTGAATGCAAAGTCAACAGATGTCAATAAACCCTTCCATTTAAGAACTGAATGGAGCAGCTGTGTCATTTGTATTTCAGTAATTCCTTAAAAACCTCAGAAACAGGACCTCAATCCTCTGGATGTTGTAATAATAACAGCTAAAAGTCTCTAACCTGAAAAAAAAGACAAGTCTAGATTTTAAGTAAGAAAACGCAAAACAAGCAAGAGGGCAAGAAGTAGCACACACTGTCGTTCTAATTGTCATTACAGAAAAAACCTGAAAAATCACAATACAACAAGGAAATTCTTGAAACTACAGCATGACTGGAGTTTAGGATGCAAGATCATAGTCAAAGTACTGTACGAGAAGAGCAGAATAACTGTAGTTCAACTACTGCTGGTTAGGTATGAGAACGTTCCACTTTCACATCAATTTACACACTTTCCAACAGCAGCAAAGACAGA